AGTATAAGAAGAAGCAGCACCAGCAGCAGCAGCAGCAGCAGCAGTATCATTAAGAGCAGGAGAAGCATGATAAGGAGCTGTTGGTTGAAGTGTATCTTACAGAGATATGTTTATCTTGTAGCTTTTGAATAACCTCTGAAAATGCAAGAGAATTTCTGCTGCTATTTCTGCTCTTTGCTCTGCCTGAGCCGTGACAGGTTGATCCCCAGGTTAAACTCATAGACAAAGACGTCCCTAGAAGTATATAACTGCTGCTGCCCATCGTCCCTCCTATTAAGACCGGCTGTCCTATTGATTGAAATGCTACAGGGGTTAAAGGATGATGAGGAGGAAACGCTCGTGTAGACCCTTTGCGGTGTACGAGCAGCTCTTTTACGCATCCATTCACCAGATGTTCCTGTAACATAATATAATAAACATATACTATTCATTTTATAATAATAAATATATTAAATATATTAAATATATTATTATTATTATTATTATTATTATTATTATTATTATTATATAACATAGTAATTGTTTAAAGAGTGTATGTATATTTACTTTTCCTCAAATCAAGCATACTTATGTGTTAAATATATAATTTAAGTTTATTCAATAAACAATATCAATATATTAAACAAATCATATTAATATATTAAATAAATAATATTAATTTATTAAACAAATAGAAGAAATACATTAAACAAATAACAAAAACACTTATTCAAAGATAATGTTAAAGCAGCATTAATAGGCAAAGCAAGTAAAGAAACAGAGATATACAGAGTTAATGAGATGAGGAGGTAAAGAAAGAAATAAACATATAAATAAATAAACAAACAAACAATCAAATAAATAAATAAATAAATAAATAAATAAATAAATAAATAAACACGCAAGAGGATTATTAAAAACAAATTGAAAAGCAGCGACGCTCAAGTAAATGCATGCATGCATCCATACACCCAAGAATGAATGCATGCATGCATGCATGCATACACCCAAGAATATCTTTATGCATGCATGCATCCATCCATACACCCAAGAATTAAGTCATGCATGCATGCATGCATGCATGCATGGACGTATATATTAATTAATTAACGCATGCATGCATGCATGCATATAACATAGATTTATTAATTAACGCATGCATACAAGCATATTACATAGAATAATTAATTAAAGCATGCATACAAGCATATTACATAGATTTATTAATCAACGCATGCATGCCTGCATGCATGCATATTACATAGATTTATTAATTAACGCATGCATGCATGCATGCATGCATGCATGACTATTGAATTGGTTGGTAATAGAGGCACCTCGACTTTTGCAATATTATGAGAGACATCGTAGAGCATTTGCATTTCAAGTTCATCGGGAGATGTCTTGAAAACTTTGCTGAAGGCAGCGCGGACTAAGAACGTCACAGCCCCTCTATTAACCCATGCAAAGTTTGCTGCTGCAGCCATCGCTGCCAGGTACTCTTGACCCTGAAGACATATATATAAATAAATATATATATATATATATTTGTTTATATCTATCTTTATATTTAGTTACTCTGTTTGTTTGTTTGTTTGTTTGTTAATAGAGTGTTATTAATGCATTTGTTTATTGTAAAGGGATATGTCTATTATCTGTGTATATATCTTTTTTTATTACTCTATAACATATATACATATATACATATATAAATATATATAAATATATACATATATATACAATATATATATATATATTATACATGCAAGGGTTTGAGGGTTGCATGCATAGAGAAGTACCCAGGAAACATAAATGAAAAACCCTAAACCCTAAACCCTAAACCCTAAACCCTAACCGCTAAACCCTAAACCCTAAACTCTAGACCCTAGCAGCATCTACATGTGGGCGCGTAGTAGCGAATTTCCCCTGATCGTGCTGGGTCGTGTAGCCCTTCTACCCTAGGGTTTAGGGTTTAGGGTTTAGGGTTTAGGTACCTCGGGAGAGTGTATAGGAGCGCATGCAAGCTGTTTATCGATGGGGCTGAATTTATTCTTTTGCATGCAGCCCTCCATCTTCACGAGGGCATCGGTCGCCACCTGATGCCCTAAGCCTCGACTCCCAGAATGAATCATTACACATACTTGGCCCTTCTGCACACTAAAACCCTAAACCCTAAACCCTAAACCCTAAACCCTAAACCCTAAACCCTAAACCCTAAACCGTACTGCATAGAACTGGTGGGCCCGTGGTAAACCCGTGAAATACAAAGAGGACGCCAACACTCCCAAGACAACCCCGAGGGTTTAGGGTTTAGGGTTTACAGGCCCTGTGTAATATAGAGCGCAGATGAACGGCTTAGGGTTTAGGGTTTAGGGTTTAGGGTTTTGAAAACGTACCTCTAGACCCATTCTCTCCGCTGCGAATTCGTCAAACACCTCGTCAACTACCTAAACAAAGAAATGCACACCTCAAACCCTAAACCCTAAACCCTAATCTCTGACCTAAAGACCCTAAGCGGCTGCGCTGAGGCAGCCTAGCAGTTGGCTATACACCTCAAGCATCAGACAGCCTTTCGGGGCCTCACACCCAAGACATGAAGCATTCAACTAGGGTTTAGGGTTTAGGGTTTAGGGTTTAGGTACCTGTACTTCGCAGTAGTGATTTCCAGCCCCAAGGGTCCCCATTTGAGGCAGGCCCCTCTTCTTTGCTCTTATTGACACCTTTGAAGGGTCTGCAGCAAAACCCTAAACCCTAAACCCTAAACCCTAAACCCTGAACTCTAAAGGCAGAGCTAAAGGTAACTTAAACGCCGTCTCTATTAAGAGCCTGCTTCTCTGTCTTTGTCTCTGTCTCTCCGTCTCTCTGTCTCTGTCTCTCTGTCTCTGTCTTCTTTTTCTTTCGCTAGAGCTAATGGGGCTTAGGGTTTAGGGTTTAGGGTTTAGGGTTTAGGGTTTACCAGCGGTGAGCATTCGCCCGTACTCTTCGCAGTGCTCTTTGTCTTCGGGCCACGCATATCCTCGCCGCAACAACCAGTCGCCTCCCAACTCCAATGCAGCCTCCAGATCTGCACAAACCCTAAACCCTAAACCCTAAACCCTAAACCCTAAACCCTAAACCCTAAACCCCCAACTCCAATGCAGCCTCCAGATCTGCACAAACCCTAAACCCTAAACCCTAAACCCCAGCTAGCCTCTAGTCAACAAGGTGATAGTTATATTGGTTAGCAGTTCGCTGTGTACGTAGCCCTTCTTTAGCTGGCTGTTATGTGTATAGCTAGCTGTTATGTGTATAGCTAGCTGTGTGTTGTCTAGCTAGCTATTTGTTCCCTAGCTAGCTAGTGCTTGCAGCTAGCTGTTGGCTGTCTAGGCAGCTATTCATTGTCTAGGTAGCTAGCTATCTATTTAGCTAGCTACCTATTTATCTAGTTGCTAGCTAGCTATATATCAGCCATCTAAATAGCTAGCTAAATAGCTAGCTAAATAGCTAGCTAGCTAGCTAGCTAGGTATTGATTGTGTATTTGTTATTACCTTGCATAGTACAGGGTATAATACCCTGAGAGCCGACGCCGACAGGAATGAAGTTAAAAAGAGTTTGAGCTAACTCTTCTTGCTTTTGTCTAGCTTCTTGCTCAAATATATTTGTTTTTATTAAGCGTACACCGCAGTTTATATCAAACCCCACACCCCCAGGAGAGACAACAGCTGAGGTGTCTCCGCAGTCAAAGGCTGCTACGTTGCCTATTGCAAATCCATACCCTTTGCATGCATGCACACACACAAATAATATAATTACTATATACTCAAACCGATCAGAAGGCCCCTCTATCTTATTATATTATATTTTATATTATATATTATATTATATATTATATTATATTATATTATATTATATTATATTAACATTATATTAACATTATATTATATTATATTAACATTATATTATATTATATTTTATATTATATTATATTATATTATATTACATTATATTATATTAACATTATATTATATAAAGGAGACAGTTATGTCTTGTTATATAAGATAAAGGAGACAGTTACATCTTATACAATAATATGTAAAGGAGACAGCTACATCTTAATAATATATTATTATATAAGACATAGGCGTCTCCTCTACATAACATAATACTTAGGGCTTATTAGAGGTTTTAGGGTTTAATATTTTAGGGTTTAGGGTTTAGGGTTTTAGGGTTTAGAGTTAGGGTTTAGGGTTTAGTATTTATAAGAAAGGTAAAATAAAACTGTTTAAATGAAAGGGTTTATAATTGTTTGATGCCTCATATATCTCCACATGTCCTCATACATCTTATGAGGGTTTAGGGTTTAGGGTTTAGGGTTTAGGGTTTAGGGTTTAGGGTTTATACCTGCATGTATATCAGGAAGCCCTATACTTTTGCCGACTATCCCAGGTAATGTAGCGACGTTTGCTATTTGTTTTACAGCAGGAAGAAAGCCTCCAAACCCTCGGCCCCCGCAGTAAACCCTCAGCTCGTCAATAAGCAAGCTCTCTAGGGCGCTGTCTACGTACACCTCGCCTAAACCACAAACCCTAAACCACAAACCCTAAACCCTAAACCACAAACCACAAACCCTACATCCTAAACAGTATGGCACGAAGAGGTTCTAAAAAGGTGCAAAACAAAACGGAGATGCACAGCTAGATTTCAAAACTTAAACCCTAAACCACAAACCCTAAACCCTAAACCCTAAACCCTAAACCCTACCGGGTACGTTCATGCCAGGGACAAAGCCCTTGCGTATGTTAAGCATATTCTTGTTGCTTGCATCGCGGTAGAGATACTGCTTCTCATCTTCAAACGCCCGCTGACGAGACATTTTGCTGCTGCTGTTGCTGCTTCTGCTGCTGCTGCTGCTGCTGCTGCTGCTTCTGCTGCTGCTGCTGCAGCCGCAGGTATGACGCCAGAGGTGCTGCGCTGGCCCCTAAAGACTGCTTCGGCCTGCTGCTGCTACTACGGGACGCTGCTGCTGCAGCTGCTGCTGCAGCTGCTGGAGCCGCTGTTGCTGCTGCTGCTGCTGTTGCTGCTGCTGCTGCAGCTGCTGCAGCAGGTATCGTGTTGCTGCCAATGTTAAGCAATTCTTAACGTAGCCGACCTCCCTAAGAATGTCTGCAGGGACTCTTCTAATGCAGCTTCTGCTGCTGATACTACTTTTGCTGCTGCTGCTGCTGCCGCAGCAGCTGCTGCTGCTGCTGCTGTTGCTTGCCCTGCGCTTGGCGTATGCATGCACAAAAACAGAGCTGAGGAGACAGCTGAAGAGGAGACAAATACAAATAAAATAGAGACGGGCAGAAGACAAAATAAACGAGAGGTTTTTTCGTGTGTAGCAGCGCCGCCCCTTGTCGTTAGGGTTTAGGGTTTAGTGTGTAGGGTTTAGGGTTTAGGGTTTAGAGGTATTATCTGAGTTTGTTTAAGAAATTTACGAAGAAAACAAAGAAAAGAAGAAATATATCTGCTTCTTCGTATGGCGTTGCGGTGTCTGCGCATACACCCGAATCAGATGATATATAGTTAGAGGCTTTGTAGTCTCTACCCTATTAAAAATAATTTAAAGTTGAGTCTATTTTTAATAAATTAACGAATTAAACTTAAAAAATGTTGCAAACAGACTATACATGCATGCATGCATGCATGCATGCAGAACCGTTCTCTCATTTGCTGTTGCTGCTGCTGCTGCTGCTGCTGGCTGTGGGGTCGTCGTCTCCCCTGCTGCTGCGTTGCAGCAGCAGGTGCTGCAGTGCTGCTGCAGTGTATATGCAGCTTTCAGTGTGAATTGTTCCTTCGAAAGAAGGTTCTAAACCCCCTTTGATGATTTGCCTTTCTTACTGCTGCTGCAGAGACGGCATATCGATTACCGTGTTGCGATTATCTGAGGGGTAAAATCAAAGAAAAACAGCTGCCTATACACCCCAGCAATGCACAGGGGTCACGCAACATTCTTCGGGTGTATCCGCAGCTTAAATGAAAACAAATAATAGTTTAATAGTTTATATTTTTTCGTGTTTTTATCATTTTAATATTTGTTTTCTTTTTATTTGTCTGCTGTTTCGTTATTCTCTGTGCTGTGGGGCTTCTCTCCTCTCGAGTGTATCTTCATCTCGCTGTTGCTGTCTTCTTTTATTTATTTCTAATGTTTTGTGCTCGCTTTTCATTTTGTATTAAATTGAATCCTTTGCTGTTAGCTGCTGCTGCAGCAGCAGCAGCAGGTAGTGTGGCTGTGCCGCTGGGGATCGACTCCTCCTTGTGTGGTATGGCCCCTATACAAGCTGCCTGTACACCCCACACTGTAGATGCATATATACGTGCATGCATGCATCTTGCTAGGGTGTATAGGGAGCTCTTCCTTTTTAGCCTCCTCTCTCCCCACAGCAGCAAAAACTTAACTCTCTTCTTTGTGCTGTCTCTATTTTATTATATACAAATCAGACTGTCTCGTTTTGTTGTGCTGTACGTATACTGCGCACTTTCTCTCCTTTTGCTTTGATATTTATTGCACAAGTTGTCTTCTTCTGCAGTATGTTTAGCAATAGAGAGTCTCCTTAGTTTATACCGTCTCCTCATTAATATATATATATATATGTATTAACGATGCTAGTGTAAGGTGCACAACCTTTAACTTGCTGCTGCTGCTGCAGCACAACGTAACGCTTCTGCTGCTGCGGAAAGTAACACTGCTGCTGCAGCACAACGTAACGCTGCTGCTGCTGCAGAAAGTAAAACTGCTGCTGTTGCACTGGAACGTAGCACTGCTGCTGCAGCAGAGTGTGTGGGGGCTTTATTAGGAGACAGAGACAGTAAAACAATAAATGAAGTACAAACAAAATTAAAGATGAGACGAAAAATATAAATAAGCAAACAAGCGAAAGAGCAAAAGTAAGGGGACGCATGCATATAAATACAAAGACAAGGAGGCGAACATATAAAAGAATAAAGATTAAAGAAGTGTTTCTAAACCCTAAACAAAACAAATAAAACAAACGGTGATGTTTATTTATTTGTCTTTTAAAACAAACAAAACAAAATAAACGGCAGTGAGAGCTGCAAACAAACGCAAAAAAACAAAATATAAAATGCATGCATATGTAATGTACATGGGTATAATATATATAAATATATATATATATATTTATATACAATTGTGTATATAGATGTATTTATTTATTATTCAGTTCTAAGACGAACAAAACAAAACAAAGTCGGGTCGGGCATTTAAACAAACAAACATAATTACGAATATGTGTATATACATATACATATATACATATATATATGTATATATATATAATACATATAAATATATATATATATGTATACATACATACAAAGATATGTGTATACGTACATATATATATATATATACATATATACATAATTATATGTTTGTTTGTCTAGATGTATATGTATACATACATATAAAAAATATATATATATATATATTAAGGATGAAGGGACTTGAACCATTAAAGTTTAAAAACATATATATATGC